CTTGCCCTAGTTGCTACTGACTTGTGTCACTGGACCAAAAACATCTCTACTTGTAGTTCAGTTCTAGTATCCACCCTCCCTGACGCCTTCTGGTGCCACACAGCTGTAACAGCCCAGAGACCATGCACAGTGATCTAGATTTGTGTTGGCATGGAGGCCAACAGGCTCCGTGTGGCCAGTGACACTCCAGTGGCCAGTGGGTGGCCAGGTGGATGGGAAGTGCCTGAATCCTCACTCCTCCCCTAGTGACACTCTCAGGCCTGGACAGGACACAGAAGCTCCCATTTTCCAGGAGGGGCTTTCTGGAGGGAGCCAGCAGCCTGGGGTAAGGCTGGGCACTACTGGTGATTAGGGGCTCAGGACCAGAATTTAGAGATCAGCCTAGTTTTGCTTCAGGCAGTTGAGATGCCTGGCTGTGGAATGTCAGGGCTGGGCCAGCTGTTGACCTCACAATGGCAGGGTCTGCTATCCCTGGCTATCTGCCAGCTGCCAGCCTGCTGCAGGCCTTGCTGCTGGGCATGTCCCTCCTCAGCAGCTATGAGGGCCTGCGGCAGGAGATCCAGCGGCTGGCACAGGAGAATGAGGAGCTGCGGCAGCTGGTGCAGCTCATCCAGGAGAACCAGGAGCTGAAGCTGGTCCTCAGAAGCAGGGGCAGCAGCCTGGGCTTCTTGGCTGAGGTGACTGCCAGTCCCCGAATGCTCAGGCGCAGAACAATCAAATTCAAGGATGCTGAGAGAGGTGAGTAGTAGCACAGCCCAGAAGCCCCTGCCACTCAGAGTGTGACATGTACACTGGTGGTAGGTGGAGGGTATGAAACAAGGCCAAGGAAAAGGTAGAGTGGGAGCTCTTAAGTACGCCAAGTAGGGAGTGACATCTCTTAAAAATGACATCTGGTCAGAACTGGAGCAAATTAAGACACCAAGAAGGGGTACAGCTTTCCTGGCTGGTAGTCAATGCAAAGGTCCTGAGGTAGCAAGTTTTCTCTAAGGCCAGCATTCTGATGCAGAGGGCAGAAGGACCAGGAGGGCCCTGCAGGCCAAAGGGATCAGAGGGCAGACTCTGTACCCACATCCTGTACTCTGGGATCCCTCAATTGGTGGGGAGAGGAAACAACCCCATTTTTAAAAGGGACAGAGGCTTGGCCAGGGTAGGGCTGTGAACCTGGTCAGACTCTCTATATAACTTAAAATAGAAGTAACAGGACTTCCAGTAGTCTGGCATGTGCCAGACGAGAAAGCAGTGTGAAGGCTGCTTGTGACTTTGGCTCCAGTGCTGGAAAGGAGATCCACTCCTGGAATGGGCATACTTGGAGGCAACCCTGGGGTCTCCAAATTGATGCTGTGCTTTGGGAAGGATCTGGCCAGGCAGAGCAAAGGGGGAATTCAAATGGGCAGATAAATGGGTCCTATAAGGCCTGGAGCTGTCTTTCATTGCTGCTGTGGGACTGTGTGACATTACCAAGAGGGAGCATGAGACCATGAGGGGACCACCAGGCGTGCCAGCAGGTGGCAAGGTGGCAAAGTAGAGCAGGTGGCAAGATGATTCCAGGAGGTGGAAGTAGGGAGCAGGTAGGAGCTGAGGTGCTACCAGAGGGGACCAAGCACTGAGGTGTTGGGCCTTTGTCAGTCTTAGAGCATTTCTTGTGGAGAGGGGTCAGGAGCCTGGGAGATAAGTGAAACAGGGAGTTTGAGAGGCATCTCCAGGGGAAGCAGACCAGCTGCATGCTGCTAGAGGGGCTTGTGGGGACAGGGCTCTTGAAGGATGTGTTTGTGAGTGGATGGGAGCTAACCCTTGGGATAAAAACAGAGGTGGGGTGGGGCTGAGGTAACACCTATGTGCAGTGAGAGTAATTGGGGTAGGGGCATAGCAGGCAGTGTGGGTGAGCATGGGGTGGCAGGTGGCAGTGGCTGTGGATGGGGTTGAGTAGCCTCTTCTGAATGGTCATGGACTGAGGGGAGGCTGTGTTGGGGTTGGGTGGGAATGAGAGAGCAGGCAGCTCCCAGGGTTGAGTGGAAAGCTCTGAGGCCTATTCTAGGGGTCCTGGATTGAAGTAGGGTGCTGATCACAGCTGCTTCCCATGGCTGCTCAGGGCTGCAGCATGGACCTCTGCGTCCTGCCTGTAGCATGGACCTCTGCATCCTGGCTGCACTCTGGTTCCAGTCCTAGCCAGGAACAAGGGCAGCAAAGCAGTAGGGAGGCTGGTGAGGGGCATTGTCTCTTGGTAGGTGATCATCTAGAAGTGGACATCTGCCCATTCATAGGGAAGTGGTCCTGTGTGCCTGCTTCCTGGCCCAGTACCTGACTGTGGGTGGGCTAGAGTCCACTTTGCTTGGCCCAAGAAAGGCTGGAGAGTAGGGGAACCCAGTGGAAAGGTCTGAGGAGAGGAGAGGGCACAGGAGTAGCCAAAAGTAGCTACCAGGCAAGGTTGGAAGGCATGAGGTAGGGTCAAATGCCACAGCTGGTTGAGTCAGATCTTGTGCATCTTTCTTGTGGCAACTTGGACCAGGCACTGGGTCCACTTACTTTTGAACCCTCTCTCCCCTTGCATGTCCTTTAATCTCCTGTCACATGGAGAACGACACCTAGTCTTACAGAAGGCACCTGGAACTAAGGGAGAGGTAGGCTGTGGGTTGTCTGAGCCTGCTTGCCTCAGACTGGCACACTGGGAGAGGCTGGTGGGCTCAGCTGACTACTCAGGTCCCAACAGCTGCTCCTTGGGGCTACCTTGCAGCAGCTGAGTGTCCCTCCTGCCCTTCTTGTCCAGAGACCCAGGCTCCTCCCCTCCAGTGTCCAAGTGGCTCACACCCCAGGACTCCTCCTGGGGCTGATCTCAGATACAGCCTCTGCTGAAGAAACTTCCTTGATGGTGTCACTGTTGTAGGAAATCTGGACCAGGAAAGACAAACCCACTCAAAAGAGATTGGAGGAAAGCTTTATTTGGCCTGCCCAGTGGAGCTAGTTTAAATTGGGGTGGGCTTGAGATGAGCTATAAAGTAACTATCTTGAGGCTGGGGCTTATTTTAGGAACAGGATATTCACATAGCATAACATGACAGGGTACAAATTGTGAACATTGAGGCTAACAGGATACATTTTTAAGGCTAACAGAGAGGACATAGCAGAATACATACTGCAAATACTAAAGTTGTTTTTGAGATAGGGTCTCATTGCATAGTTGGGACTGACCTGGAACTCACTATGTAGCCCAGGCTGGTCTTGAACTCACAGTGATCCTCCTGCCTCAGCCTCCTGAGTGCTGGGATTACAGGCGTGCACCACCACGCCTGGCCAAATACTAAAGTTAACAGGACACACACACACACGTTGTTGCATCCAGATTGCAATATCCCCAAAGACCACCAAGGAGTCGAGTCCCATGCAATCACATGAGGAGTTTATTGCAAGCTCGAGCCTGGACTCCCAGACCTCACTGACATAGCGGATTCCTACTGAGAGCCCCAACCCGATTTCAAACAGGCCTTTTATCCGCAAAGAAGCAGAACTAGAGGCTTTCTAGACGGGCCAGTGCCTGATTGGTTAACATTTTGAAAATGCAGGCAGGGGACAAGGGTCTGCTGACTTGAGTTGGTGGTCAGCAGTCACACATTGATAATTAACAGATACCTATAGGATGGTTCAAAGGCCACCAAGACATTCAGGATGAGCAAACAGTTCGACAATTAACTTGGGGTCTCTATGTCTAGAACCACTAATTTACATGTTAATCAGGTTCCAGACTTCGAACAGTACAAGATTGCCTTACATTCCTAAGCCAGGGTTAGAACAAAGGTCAGAGCTATGGCTACATTGGGAGGGGGTTAGAGCACTGTCTCCTAGGCCCTTTGTCATTTAGCATGGGCTTGTAATTTGGTCAAAAGGGCGCTTTGGGGTTTTCCCAGTAACTGGGCAGTGACCTGATCACAGAATGGAGTAACTTTTTAAAAATGGAGTCAGTTTGGACTCTACAATATATGTGTGTGTATGTGTGTTTATATTCTTTGGGGGGCGGGGTACCAGGGATCGAACTCAGGACCTTGCGCTTGCGAGGCAGGTGGCAGAACCACTGAGCTAAATCCCTGGCTACATGTATATTTTGTAGTGGCTTACACTGTGATTACATAAAGTATTACTCATTGGAAGGGGTTGTGGATCTGCCTGTTTCTGGGTAAATAGGAACAAAATAAGGGCCTGTGAGAAATCTTAAGGCTTGAAGGCCTAAAAGTTTAAAACCTCTGCATTAACAGCAAGCCTAGGGACCTGGCCTAGTACTGGTACAGCAAGAGAGTCAGGCAGCCCATTCCTGGAGGACTTATTTTCCTGGGGCATAATCCCCACAGAATAACAGCAAAGAGCCAAATATATCAGAAACCAGCCCTGACCTCTTTCTGACATCCTCACCTGCAGTCTTTTCCAGGGAGCCCCGTCTGTCCACGTTCCTGTCCCTCACCCTGGGGAAATTACCTTGTCCTTAAGGAAATTACCTTGTCCTTAAGGTGGCCTCTGGCTTGGGTGAGGGGAACATCAGCAACAGGTGTGTGGGGGTGGGGTGTCTTACCCTAGGGGAGGTGGGAACACCTCAGCTCTTCGCATTGCCCTCCTCATTCCTCTGCCTTTTTTTTTTTTTTTTTTTTGGTACTGGGGATTGAACTCATGTCCTTGCGCTTGCAAGGCAGGCCACCGAACCGCTGAGCTAAATCCCCGGCCCCTCCTCTGCTACTTCTACTCACCCCAGTTCTCTCCCTTCAGGGCAGTCTGGAGCAAGTTGGGGCTATGGTTTGTTGGGGGAAGGGTTAGCTTCCCTGGCCCTAGGGCATGAGAAGGTTGGCGTCAAGCATATTGGGAAGTGAAGCCCGCAGAGCCAAGGTGCCCTTGGGCCCCACTTGGACTCTCAGTGTTGCAGTCCTAGGGTTGCTCCCTCGCTGGCAAGCCAGAGGGGACTGGTCTAGCCCGGACTTCGGACTTACGCAACCAACCAACCCCGCTGGCTGGGTGCATTTGGGCGGTCCAGTGGGGCGGGCCCGGCAAGCCCCTCCCCGCGGTGGGGGTAGGGCGTGCTGGAGCACGAGCTGCAGAGCGGAACCCGGCGACCTGGAGCAATCCTGCAGAGTGGTCCTACCCTTTGCGAGGCGGCCTTCCCCACTCCTTCTCAGGTCGAACTCCAGGATCCTTGGCCCTGCTCAACCGCTTTGTCCACAGGTTCTGCCTGGTGGGGGGGCAGGGAAGGCTGAGGGAAACCAGAAGCGGGACTCCCTCAGGTACTCTTCATGCCAAAAGAACCCAGTCCCCTGCCCAAGAGCGTCAGGATCCAGTCGCACCTTCTCTGCTTCAGGTGTGGGCTTTCTGCCGAGCCAGAGCCCTAACACCTGGGTTAGGGTTATGGGGTGTGTGTGTGTGTGTGTGTGTGTGTGTGTGTGTGTGTGGGGGG